CCATCCTCCTGCATATCTTGGACTGCAGATACCTGTCACTTCATCTGGCTGATACACCCCATGATCTTAGATAAAGAGAATATTTTCTTTTTATTGATGCAAAGTTAATCTAAGTGATCTAGAATGGCTACCAAGTATTTCAAGGTCACTGATAGTTTAGGTCGATGTAATTGACCAATGTCATCCACAATGGCAAATGTGTATTGAGTAGGTACTATTTGCCATTGTATTGAGTGATTTACATTTTTTTTTTTTTTAGGTTTTTTTGAGGCAGTATCTCACTATGTAGTCAAGGCTGGCATCAAACTTTCAATCCTCCTTTCTCAGCCTCCCAAGTAGTAGAATTACAGGTGTTCACCACCACACCCAGCAATTTACATGTTTTATTTAATCTGATAATAATATACTGAGGTAGTTAGTAATATTATTTTCATTTTGTAATGAGAAGACTGAATGAAAGTGGTCTTTAAACTAGTTTAACTTTATGTACCTGCTAAGGAGACCCTGAATTCTGATTCAGAAGCCAGATGAGCAGTCCAATTGGCTTAGTGCCATGGTGTACACAGAGTTAAAAGATGATTCTAATCAGCAGTTCACAGTTTTATTCAGTGCACACTTAAAAATTGGTTAAGAGCATATATTTAATCTTATGGTTTTTTATCACAATAGGAATGAAGAAAGGAAGAAAGAAAAAAAAAGAAAAGTATGCAACCATCAAAATTATACTTATCATGAATCTTAATGACATATAGAAATGCATGACATATTTAAAAATTTGTAACCAGGGATTTAGCTCAGTGGTGCCGCTGCCTGCCTCATAAGGGCAAGGTCCTAAGTTCAATCCCTGGTACCAAAAAAAAAAATTTTGCATATAAACCCAAAATACAATGTGATATAACCTATGTAAGATATATGTGTGTAAAATTATATACTATATGTATATGTACAAACATATACATTATGGTTGTATCTTATATTTGGCAGATTAATTTTTTTAAAAATAGGACTTGTGCAAACATTAATATTTCTAGTCATTAGTTTTCATATATTGATTATCAGACATTTTTGGGTTTTTTCTCTTATCTCTACATCTACACTTTTATATATCTGAATTTATGGTCTTGAAAAAGAGATAAAAATGTGAATTGTTGATTAGAATCATTTGCTTTTGATCAGCTAAGGGAAAAGCCAGACCAAGAGAAAAAAAGAAAAATAAAGAGAAAAAGAGAAAAAGAAATTGCTAAAGGAGAAAATCTTTAATAGCTAAATTAGAAAGTAAAAAAATAAAAACTGAAAAGAAAACATAATTCCTCTCAAGTCCAAGATTATTTTATTTTAACATTTTATTGTCCTTTATTGCATTTGAGTGTTTAAAAACTTTTCCTATGGTAATTACTGAATAATCAAGGGGAACAAAACAAGTAAGAGAAAGTTTCAGGCTGTGCTCGTCTGTGCTAGAACGCCCAACTAGCCACTTCCCCATCCAAAAACCTTTGTGAAAACTCTAAAACTTAAGAATGAGACTGAGATGCCAGCTAAAAACCATAGTAAAGGTAAAGGAAACAGGCTTACTTTGACCACATTGACCCTTTCCCTCCCCAAGTCAGAACAATGCCACAGAGAGAGGATTCCCCTTGGATCCACAGATCTTCCATGGGAAATGACAGCAATTAGCCAGATAGCTTCCCTAGCATTCCAGGAAACCCACTCCAGTCTTGCTTCTCGGAGATCCGTGCAGCAAGGCAAGACTAGACCACCTGGGGTCAGGTAGAAGAAATAAGAACAGAAGGTGGAGCTCACAGGCCCCAGCATGTTTGTGTTGGTGGTAACTCCAAGTTCCTACCAGCACTAGAGGTGTCTGATCAGTTAGACCAGCCAACAGCATAGCCCACCCACAAAGCCTAGCTGGTTCCTGTCAGCAGCATAAAGGGAAGTTTACTGTAGCTTGGGTCCCTAACCATTCAGCAACTCTGCCTGACCCAAGAGCCTACTCCAGAGCCCTCTGCAGGAAGGCAAGCCTGGACTATGGATTTCTATAGCCTCAGGTCCCATCCATCCTGACTAATCATGGAGCTCAGCCTGCAGCCCTGCCCAACTGGAGAACCCACACAGTGGAACCACCCACCTAGGAACCTGGCCCGATTAGAGGCCATGGCAGTGCCCAGCCAGTGATGTCACCAACCAGTTGAGCCCAGCCAGCCACGCCATCCAAGTATGGAGCCCAACAGAAAGTTCTGACTTTCTAAGGTTGTTATAAACGGCCCATTCAGGCTCCCTACTGAGACTAAATAGAGGTTTATCCTTGTGTCGTTGTATGAGATCAAAGTTAACTTATTATCAGCTTGAAGTATCTTAGTATAAAGGTAAATCATTTTATTAAGTTTGCTGGTAACCACAGAGCAAAAATCTGTAAATGTAAATAGAAATGATTCAAAGCAAACCACTATAGAAAGCCTCAAACCACAAAGGAAGACAGTAAGAGAGGAAGACAAAAAGTAACAACCAAATAACCAGAAGATAAATTATAAAATGGCAGTAGCAAGTCCTTACCTATCAATTATTTTTTCCCTGTGGTTCCCGTGTTAGAAACTTAACTCCCAATGGCTCAGTGTTAGAAGGTGGAAGCTAACAGAAAACATCCATACTGTAGTAGGTTCCTTATAAAGGATGAGTTTGGTACCTTTTTACTTTCTCTCTTTAACTCATGTGTTGCCTTTCCAGATGTATCAAGAAAGCTCAGTGGTTCCATCGCCTAGTTTGATCCCGGTACCAGAAAGAAAAAAAAGAAGGCCCTCACCAAATGCCAGCAGCTTGATCATGGACTTCTCATCCTCTGGAACCATAAATCAGTACATTTCTATTCATTATATATTACCTGGTCTGTGATATTTTGTTATAATAGCACAAAACAGATGAACACACATGAATGAATTAAATTCTTTAATGGCAGAAAGGCTAAATGGGAAAACAAAACACAATATAAAATGGAAAGACTCAACTATATGAAGCCCAGAAGAGTTTCACCTCATTTTTTCTGGATGGAAAGAGCTGAAAGTGAATGGATGGAAAAAGATATTTCACACAGATGAAAACCAAAGCAGAGCAAGGGTAGGTATATTTATATCAGATTTAAAGTCTAAAATTGTAAAGAGACAAAGCAACCCAATACACAGGGATAGTGATCAATTCAGCAAGAGAAAATACAATTATAAATTTATATGCAGCTAACATTGGAGCACCAAAATATATACATCAAATATTAAAATATCTTAAGGGAGAGATGGATTGCCATTCAATATTGGTAGCAGGCTGCAGTACCCTAATTTCAATGACAGACAGATCATCCATAAAGAAAATTAATAAGAAAATGTGGACTTGATCAACACTTTAGGCCAAAAGAAACTAGCAGACATATACATCTAATAGCAATCCATCCAATAACAAATCATTTTTTTCTCCAGGATAGATCATATGTTATTTAAAAAAAAAAAGACAGCAAATTTAAGAGGATTGAAATCATGTTAGGTAACTTCTCAAATCACAATGGTATAAAACTAGAAAAAAAATGTGGAAATTAAGTGACCTGGTCCTGAGCAGCCAATGGGTCAAAGAAGCCAAAAGGGAAATGACAATGGAAATAGTGTGTGAAAGCTGAGCAAGGTGATATAAGCCTGGAATCCATGCAGTCTAGGGGGCTTAGGCAGGAGGATAGCAAGTTTGAGCCCAGCCTGGGCAACTTAGCAGTTTAGTGAGACTCTATCTCAAAAACAAACAAACAAACAAACAAACAAACGAAAAAACAAAAATTAGAAAAGAACTGGGGCTGTAGCTCAGTGCAAAGACCCTGGGTTCAACTCTCAGTACAACCAAACCAAACCAAATCATAGGAAATGCATCAAAAGGAAATCTAAGAGGTAAATCTATGGCAATAAATGTCTACATCAGATAAAAGATCTGAAATAAATAGCCTAGTATTACACCTTACAAGAACTCAAAAAAGGGCAGAGCTCAAAATGAACAAAAGGAAAAAAATAACAATGATCAGCTCAAAATGAACAAAAGGAAGGAAATAACAGTGATCAGCACAAAATGAACAAAAGGAAGGAAATAACAAAGATCAGAGAGAGCAGAAATAAATGAAAGAGAATAAGAAAATACAAAAGCTCAGCAAAAGAAAAATCTGGTTCTTTGAAAAGATAACCAAAATTGACACACCTTTAGCTAGACTAAGAAAAAAATAAAGATTCAAATAAATAAAATCAGACATAAAAGAGGAGATATTATACCTAATACCAAAGGATCGGAAGAAATTACTTTGAATAGTTATACACCAGCATATTGGATGTTGTAGTCAGGGGTTTACAAGGGAAATGGATTTAATACAGGACATATAATTTATAGGATTATTTTATAATAGTCACCCAAAAAGTCAAATGCAGAGAAGTGCAAGCTATCTAGCCACACACTAAAGACCCAAAGAATCCAGCCAAGGGTCTGGATCCCATAGCAATGTCCCACACAAGTCCAGCTGAAAATGTAGAGTCCAAGGCAATGTCCTCCATGAACCCAGCCAGTGGCCTGGAGCCCAGAGCAATTACTCATGCTTGTCTGTATCTAGGATGTGCACCAGGAAGGCCCAAAGGTCAGTGGTGGAAGCCAGAAAACCTGCGCAAATGAGATGAGGGATTTGCGCCACCAGGATGAGGGATGTACATTGGAGCCAGGAAGTGATGCTCATGGTGAAGATCAGAGCTCCCCTGACAAGAATGGCAGCCATTCCCAGTGACAGTGAGGCCCCGAGCTCCTCCTCTAACGAGAACAGCCAAGTTTGTATCAGGAAAAACAGCCACAGCAAGCTTCTCCTAGAAAATCAACAGCCCACAATCTTCTCCTTCAGTTCTCTTTTTATGCTATTGGCAACAATCCTTGGGTGGGTCTTCCATAGCCCACCATGCTGATTCAGTTCAGCTGGGCATTCCAAATTGGCCATTAGTTAATCCACCACACTGGAGAACCTAGAAGAAATGGATAAATTCCTAGACACATATAATCCACCATGACTGAATCTTAAAGAAAGGGAAAATCTGAACAGACCAGTAATTAATAAAATGAATCAATAAACAGTCTCCCATCAAAGAAAGGCCCAGGAGCTGATGGCTTTATAGGTGATTTCCTCCAAACACATTAAAGAACTAATCACCTGCTCTCAAACTTCCTAAAGATTGAAGAGGAAGAAACATCTTAAACTCACTCCTCTTACATAGCTAGCATCTCCCCAGTACCAAAACCAGACAAGAACACTACAAGAAAGGAAAATTACAGGGCAGTGTCTCTTATTAACATAAATACAAAAATGCTCACCAAACTACTAGCAAACCAAATTCAACTGCACATTAAAAGGCTCCTTCACCAAGACCAAGTGTGATGCAAAACAAGTCCAAATACATGAATCAATAAATGTGATGCATCACATTAATAGCATGCAAGACAAAAATCATATGATTATATCATTATATACAAAAAAAGGCATTTAACAAAATTCCACATTTTTTCCTGATAGAAACTCAACAAATGGAATGCACCTCAACATAATAAAAGCTGTATATGACAGCCCGCAGCTAATGTTATACTTGGTGAATATTTGAAAGTTCTGGGACCAGTCTGATTCCCTACAGCAGCATGTGCCCTGTCCAGGTACTGAAGCTGGAGTTCTTTCCTATTTTTTCTCAGTGTCTTTTGTTCAGGCCTGGTCTGATCTTTATTAACTTCTCAAGCTAAAGTATCTTACCATTTTTCTCTTACTTTCCAACTAAAGGTTTTTCCTGTAAAAAATATTGAAGGGTTTTTCTCTCTAGAACAAGACAAGGAATTCCATTTTCACTACTTCTTGACCGAGCACTGGATGTCCTAGATATAGCAATAAGGCAAAAGGAAAAAAAATTTAAAACATACAAATAGGAAAGGAAGAAATGAATCTGTCACTATTAGCTAATGACATAATTTTCTCTATAGAAAACCCTAAAGAGTCTATCAAATAATTGTTACAATAAACAAGTATTGAAACTTGCAAGATACATAATTAACACAAAAAATCAATAACATTTCCACATACAAATGAACTACCTGAGAAAGAAATCAAGAAAATGATCCTGCTGTCAAAAAATAAGACAAAATCTTTGGAATAAATTTAACTAAGAAGATGAGAAAGATCTACATCTGAAAACCATAACATATTGAAGAAAAACATTGAACAATACACAAATTAAATAGTTCTTAGTTCATGGAAGAATTAATATTATTAAAATGTCCATACTACCCAAAGTAATCTACAGATTCAGTTCAATCCATGTCAAAATGTCAATGTCATTTTTCACAGACATAGAAAAATACAATCCTAGTAGTCACGTAGAACCATAAATAACCTTAAGTAACCAAGCCAATCTTGAGCAAAAAGAACAAAGCTGGAGGCATTATACTATACCACAAAGTGATAATAATTAAAACAGCATGGCATTGACATAAAGACATCAACCAACCAAACTGAATACAGAACCCAGAAATGAATCTATACATTTATGGTTCATTGAATTTTTTTTTCTTTTGGTGGTACTGTGGATTGAGCCTTACAAGTCAATTGCTCTATATCCTCAGTCTGGTCAATTGATTTTTTATAAAGTTGCCAAGAACATAGAATGAGAAAATGATAATCTCTCAAAAGAAATGTGTTGGGAAAATAGGATAGCCACATACAGAAGAATGAAATTGAACTCATCTCATAGCATATACAAAACAAACTAAAAGTAGAATAAAGGCTTAAACATAAGATCTGAAACTATAAAACTACTAGAAGAAACACTGGAGAAAAGCTATTGTAACACTGGCCTGGATTTTTTTGAATTTGACCCTAAAAGCTCAAGCAATGCAAGTGAAAATAGAGAAACAGAATTACATCACATTAAAATGTTTCTTCCTAGCAAAGGAACGGTTGTATAATAAAGAGACAACCTACCGAGCCAGGCCTGGTATTCCAGGCCTGTAATCCATGCACTTAGGAAGATGAGGCAGGAGGATTACAAGTTTGAGACCAGCCTGGAATGCAAAGTGAGACACTCTCTCAAAAACAGATGAAGAAACTATTCAACATGGAGGCGGGGGTCAATAAGCTGGAACTGATGTTGCAGAAAGCTGACTCTGATCTGGGTTACATTCAGTACAGGCTGGAATGTGAAATCAAGACTAATCATCCTGATTCAGCAGTTGAGAAAAATCCAGTTACACTCTTAAAGGAATTGTCAGCTATAAAGTCTCGATACCAAACTTTGTATGCACATTTTAAACCCATTGCTAGTGAGCAGAAAGAGACCAAGAGCCGCATTTATACTACTTTGAATAAGACTATGGCCATGATACAAGAACTACAAAAGCATACTGATGTGGAGCTGTCGTCACTGACTGAAGAAGAAAAAACTGTGACAGAGCAGTTAAAATCTCACATGCCACACTTACGAAGAAGTGGAATTGCAAAAGGGAACTGTAATTATGAAGAGATTAATTCCAGAGAAAAACAGGAAGATGTGTCGTTAACAGTTCATGAGTAGAGGTGGGGGGCTGGTAAAGGAGGAAGAGGAGGTTGGGCTTGAGAGACAGGGTCATGATGCCTTTCATAAAAGGAGGATTAACAAGAGCAGATATTATACTAATAAAGTTCAGCCAAAGGATGGAATGGAAATAAAAGGATTTAAATATCTATACCTTATTTAGTTTTGTAATTTTAGGTAAGGAAGTCCTTTAATACTAATTTGCATCTGTTTTCTTTTTGTATTGTTGGGATAATAGATATTCTGGCCTATCATAAAAGAATGCTTACACATTTTAGTCTGTCATTGTGTGAATGAATGTGCATTATAAAATAGACTAAAAGCAAAATATTTGTATTATATATTATATATAGGTACATAATTTCATTTTTGAAAATGTTGATGGCAGGTGGGGTTACATTATTGGTGAGACCACTAATATGTGATATGTAGTCTTTCACAAAGTTTAATATGTTGGCTTTCCTGTGATAGCCTCACTTTCGTTTACTTTTTTCCTTAAATTGTCTGTCTGCTAGTGTTGAGCAGCATAAATTTGTTTTCAAATGCCATTTTTGATGACCTCCGTGGTATCTCAATAATACTTTTATTCTCATTCATCCTATACTTATAATTGTTCATTCTGTATAAAAGCTAAATCAGGTGAGAGGGGTCTCAAATAAAAAGAATATGAAAACTCAAGAAAAAAATAGATGAAGAAAGAAAGAAAGACCCTACAGAAGAAAATATTGGCCAGCCATGCATTAGATAGAGGATTAATATCCAAAAAATATAAGGAACCCAAAATACCTACACAGGAAGAAAACAAAGCTGGGCATGTTAGAATGTGCCCAGTAGTTCCAGTAGTTCCTAGTAGTTCCAGCTACTCAGTAGCCTGAAGCATGAGGATTGCCTGAGCCCAGGAGTTTGAGGCCAACCTAGGTAACAAATGGCAAGACTCGTCTCAGAAAAAGGAAAAGAATGGGCCGGGGATTTAGCTCAGTGGTTTCACCACCTGCTGCACAAGCCCAAGGACCTGAGTTCGATCCCCAGTACCAAAAAAAAAGAGAAAGAAAAAGAAGAAGGGGAGCTGGGAGGAGGTAGAAGACAACCAATTGAAAAATGGGCAAAAAACTCAAGAAAGAGGTACAAATAGCCAATAGATATAAAATACTGAACAACACTAATTATTAGGGAAAGTCTAATTAAAACCACAATGAAATACCACCTCACACTTGTCAGAGAGGCTATTTTCAAAAAGTCAAAAGATGATAACAGGTGTTAGTGAGATAGAAGAAATATAACTCCCAACCTATTAGATGTCAAATGTGCTGAGTTCATGGTCCCACAACAATGAGGAATGATGTCACGAACCAGAGGGAAAAGTTAGGAAAAAAAATAAATAAAGACAGAATTGTGACTGGAGGTACATCTGTACAAGGACAGGCCCAAGATAAAGATGCAGTGGCCAGGCCTCCTTGCCTACCTAAGGGATAAACAGTAACTTGAGATTCATTATAATTAGCACCACCTGGTCCAGTAAGTCTACACAGGCATCAGTCGCCCAGGTGGGTGGGTGACCAGAACATCTGGACCCATCCCTTCCCAAAAATGCCTTTGTTTTTCCCATATAACCTTACTACGTGACTCATTTCCCTATTGGATATTAGCTAAGCAAGTATTCTTGTAATCCTATAGGCTGATTGTAGTCTGACCCACGTTGTAACCACACTGTGACTTTGCCATATAAATACCCCTGACAAAGGGCCTTGGTGGCAACTCATTTGGGACCCCTCCTGTCTCTCAGGAGCTCTCTCAATAAACCTTTCCTACTCTTAACCTCCACTGTCCCTTGGAATTCACTCTTCGATTGTGGGGGACACGAACTTGGCATATCTGACATCTAGAAGATTGGGAGTTATATTTCCCCTATATCAAGATCACAGAGTTCTTATGTTTTCCCTTGAATATTTAGGTAACTTTCAAATTTCACTATTTCAAATAGTTGACAGCAGAATTTGCTGAAAATACTTCAGGAAAAAAAAAAAATCTGAAAAAATTCTGAAAACAAACAAAAGATATATAAAGATTGAGGCTTTTGTTTGTTTGTTTTGTTTTTGAGACAGTCTTGCTATGTACTTCAGGCTTTCCTTGAACTCACTGTGTAGCCCAGGCTGACCTCAAACTCACAGTGATCCTCCTGCCTCATCCTCCCATGTGTGCTGGGATTAAAAGTGCACGCCAAAATACCCTGCTTGAAAAATTGTTAAATAGGCCATTATGTGTTAAAGTTACCTACCGGCAGGGCTGGGGATTTAGCTCAGTGGTTTTGCTGCCTGCTGCACAAGCACAAGGACCAGAGTTTGATCCCCGGTACCAAAAAAAAAAAAATAATAATAATAAAGTTACCTACTGGGAATATGTTTTGACCTCTTTGTCATTTTGACTAATCACCATTTTGATAAAATTATTTTTAACTAAATTATGACTGTCATTTCTAAATTGCTTGGTTGAAAAAAGTTTTTTTTTGAAAAAATAGTTTTTACCATGCATATCTTTGTTTCTAATAGCACACATTCCTTCTCTCTCTTTCACATATGCACGCGCGCGCACACACACACACACACACACACTCAACCAAGGCCTCAAACATGGCAGGCAATTACTCCACCACTGAGCTACATCTCCAGTACCAATCCAACCTTTTATAAAAAATATTGTCTCTCAAACTATGGCAGTTACTGGTGATACAAGAAAAACCCATTCACATTTGCATAATATAGCTAAGATAGTCTTGGTTGAGCTAAAAGAAGAACTATTTTATGGGTCCTTTATTCTTCCCACTGCCCCTCTCTGGGATATCTTTTTTTTTTTTTTGGACCAGAGATCAAACTCTGGACCTTGTGCTTGCGAAGCAGCTGGCAGAATCACTGAGCTAAATCCCGGCCCCACTCTGGGGTATTTTTAAAATAATTAGAGTGCTTATTTTCTCCTTTCCTATTTTGAGGATAAAAAATGCCTGAGGTCAAGAATTTATGTACAAGCGTAAGATTCAATTTAGCAGTAGCCCATCTTGAGTATATTGTTTTCATACCAGTCATTTTCGGAGTATTATTAATGTATTTTAAACTTCCTTTTGAACTCAGGGTTTTGTTTTGTGAACTCAGGCCTGGTGTGTGCTAGGGAAGAACTCCAGTGCTGAGCTACATCCTCAGCCCTTGGGCTCAATTCTTAGTAAGGAAAATCGTCATTGACTTCTTAATATCGTGCCTTTCTTCTCAACCTTAGGTTAATAATTTTGGTTTTGTGTAGTTAATTTGACGTGTGTTCTGTTTTTAACATATATTATTTTGCGACCAACTGAAGACATAAGTAACATTTAAAAATCAAGTTATGTCTCCCAGACACATACATTTTTATTCCTTTTATAGTTAATTAGGACACTTTATGTTATTTGCATTTTTTTTTAGCTACTCTTCCTCTTCCTCTTTGCTCTTCTACTTTATTTTTAAATTTCTCCCCTGAGTGTCTATGTATTGGCCACCTCTTATGTATTTGTTTCAGACGTATGGTTTTGGATCAAGAAAGCATACTTTAGGTTGGCAACTACACTTTGAGAATACTAACTCAGAGGTATGGGAGTGGGGAGAAATTCCTACTAGTTTTTGTAAAACATCTCATTCTTGTCACCTAGAAGGATATTAGAAATCCTTTGGATCAATCCTTAAATAGACCCATTTGGTACATGTCAGCAGCAGGGGCACTGGTGACCATCTTGGAGAAGATCTCCAGTCAGTTTTCTCTCTAATTAATAATTCTGGGTTCTAGACCATCTGGTTCCAGTGTGTTGACAAGACGAAAGAATCACATCTCAGTAAATTCAAAGAGATCGAATCCAATGTTTCCTCATTACGGCTAATGACCTAACACCATCACGAAAGTTAACTAATTAGTACAGTAGGCTTTGCTCTCTTAAAGTCATTGGATTTTTCCTCATTGTACTCTAAGCTCTTTTGAATGGTTATTATTGGATTGTTTGACAATCTGCTATGTAGTAGTTACCTAGGCATCATGAGATTATCTCATGAGATTATCTCATCAATCTATAATTAATAGGGCTACATTCTGCCCATCTTAATTAAAAAACTGGGATTTCATCTAACTCTTTAGTAACCTTCAGAGTTTTCATTTCCATAAACCCTTCAAACCTATAACGGCCTCTACTACATTGTCCTCTACTCTGGTTTTAAGCAACTGTCCCTAAGTCCCTTCTCGTTGCTTGCTGTTGTGCTCTTTCCAGATCATGTTACTGACAGCTTTAAAACACACAATGGGAAGAAAAGGAAAGTAACATGAGGAGACTTCCTAGCTCACAAAGGATCAGAGAAAGTAGGTCCTTGATATTCGCTTTACTCTTCCCCAAGACCTTAACCCTCTAGCCTCTGTTAAAAGCTTCGATCCCAAGGAAAGCAGAGACATACATTTAACATATAACTCAGCTCTGAACTTTGAAGTTTCTTTACTGAACTGAGGTTTAAACATTGGACTAGTTGCCCTGAATTAAAAATGTCTTTTACTTTCACTTAATAATAGCTAATTATCACGTACCAAATCCTTTTACTCTCCTTAGTTACCTCACTAGGGTTTTTGGTTTGTGTGTTGTGGTCCTGGGGATCAACCCAAAGTCTTATTGACATTAGCAAATGCTCTGCCATTGATCTACACCTCTGGGCCCTCCTCGCTACCCTTAAAGAGCAAGAAAGCAACACTGCATCCTTTGGAGCAAGGCAGATAAGAGTCTGAAGCTGGTGAAAGTGGCCCTTGCTTGTGTACTTTGCATATGTTAGAGGTACACAAATAGCATTAGAGATTGCTCTGAAATTCTGTCTTCAAAATATGAAAATGTGGCTTAAAATGTTCATTACAAAGGACCAAGTAGGCATAGAAATGTTAAAAGTTCACCTCAGGAATTGGTGTTATAATGATTAAGTTGACTATGGGAAAAGGTTGGAATAATAGTAAAAAATACAGACTGATTATTCAATTTGGTATATGTGGAATCTGGAAAAATTGTTTTAAACTACAGGGCTGTTCATATTTATCCTGTTGCTTATTTTATCATTCAACACATAATTATTCATGACTACTAAATGCTAATCATCAGCTAAACTTTAGGAAAAATGGATTGAAATCCCCAGGATTTAAGTAAGACAAATCTCTGATTTTTTTCACCTTTAAAGTGATATTTTTGTCGCTGATACATAGAACTATGATGGAAAATTGATCACCACTTGTGAGCTTTTTATCCTTACAGCTTTTAGGTAAAGACTTTTAGGTGAGGACTGCTCTCAAATTATGTGAAAAATAATATCTCAACATTATTTTTGAATAATCCACTTCCCCTCACCTCTAATTTAAAATATTGCCTTTAATGTGCTGGGCACAGCAGTATAAGCCTGTAGTCATAGCTACTGGGGAGGTTAAAGCAGGAGGATCACTTCAACCCCAGGATTCAAGGCCAGCCTAGGCAAACCCTATCTCACACACACCAAAAATTACTTGCATTACATGACAAATAGCCCATATATTTGCGGATCTTCCTTTTTTATTGATCTGTTTATTCTTGTTCCTTTGGTAAGGTGCATGTCCTTTCATTACTCATGTAATGATCTTTTAAAAAGTTTCCACCCCTGCATATTTTATTTGCATTTTATTTGCATTTATTTATTTTCCATGAGACAGACCCAGATAACTTGCCCAGGCTGGCCTCCAGCTTGTGGTTCGCCTGTCTTAGCCTTCTGAGCACCAGAATTATAGGCATGTGCCACCAGGCCTGACCTCTCCTCCCTTCCCCTGTCATTTTAGATGAAGAAAATTAGGGACAGTTTTTGTGTCTTTATTCAGTTAAACCCATAATTGTAATTTACAAAATACAAGACACTAACTTAAGATTGTGGAGGATATAAAGAGGAAAATGATAGAATTCCTGCTCTCAGAGCCAGCTGCAGTGGCTCACACTTAGAATCACAGCTACTTGGGAGGGTTAAGGGAGGCCTTGGCAATTTAGAGAGACAAATGTCTCAAAACAAAAAAATAACAGGGCCTGTAGTCCCAGGACTCTGGGAGGCTAAGGCAGGAAGATTGCAAGTTTGAGCCCAGCCTGGGCAACTGAACTACTTAGTGTGATCCTGTCTCAAAATAAAAAATTTAACTCAGTATGAAGGACCTGAGTACTGCCCTTCCCCCATACCCAGAAAAGTGCTAGGGTATTACGTAGTGGTAGAGCGTAGGCATGACCTTGGGTTCAGTGCTCAGGAGGGAGTGTGGGGTGGGGTAGTGTCTGCTCTGAGTAGGTAATTAACGTATGAAGTACACTTATAATCTGAATATGAGAAAGAGGCAAGATAGAACAGGTACCAACAGACATGTTGCATAGAGTTAAATACTCAATTTTAAAACTGAGCACACACATAGAAGTAGTACGGCCTGCTGTAGGTGTTTAATGAGGTTGTTGCAGCAGTTTTATAACCAGTTCCCTTAGGCTGTCTTAAAGTTGTAAAGTGCAGAACAGGTGCAGCCTTATTTTCACACAGCACCTCTGAAATCTAAGTGCATAGGGATACTTCCTTTGCCTTTGTATTTTTTTGTTGGGGGAAGGGCAGAGCATTCCTGTCCTTGAGTGGCTGGTATTACAAATGTTTTGAATTCCTGAAGTTTCAGTTCACTTTGCAGTGACATTAACCATGGTTTTTCTGTTAGGTATATAGGAGCAATTGCATTTTAAACATGTTTTCAACTGGGTGGATGAGCTACCTGTTAGACATGCCTACATAATCTTATCGCAGACTATTTTCTTCTGCAAATTCTTTATCTTGTTACTCTGGTAACTAAATCTAACTCGATTATAATAAACACATTTATGATCAGAGCCCCAGGATTTATATTCAGTAATCCTTCCATGACCTTACATAAAATGCCTGTTGTGAAACAAGTTACCAGGATTTCCCTGGTCATTTACATATGACATAATTATTATGACACAAATAGACAGCGTGGGGATCACAAGCACAAGGGCCTAAGTGTTTTTACAGATGCGTAAAAGAGAGAAGCAGGAGTGGGGGCACAGCTAAATGGTAGAGTGCCTGCCTAGCATGTGCAGGGCCCTGGGTTCCATCCCTAATACTACAAGTTAGAGAGACAGATATATAGATGGGTAACCAAAAGAAGTGAATTTGCACTAGGAAAATCCAGATAAGCTCTACGAATATTGCTGTAGTGTTAAACTGAAGAATGAATGGGATTTCAAGACACAGACACAGGGGGCAAGGGTTCCAGGTCTTGGAGGATCCTAACGTTATGCTAAATACCAGAAAGGGACTAAAATGTGTTAGATACTTCATAATACTATTATATCTCCGTACCTATTTTATATCCTCTACATATGTGTTCCAAAGTGCTAGGCAATTTTATCAACATCCTGTAGCTAAGATAAGCCTGAAGATAACAAATGGGATGGCCAGTGGCCAAGGAAATGACCAGGCCCAGGACAGTTCACAATAGAGTACTCTGTAGTGATCAGCTAATACAACCTCTGGGTGGGAGCTCTTATGAGAGACTGGCAGAGTTTCAGAAACTAACTAGGTTGGCTTATGTATTTATTTATTGAGTACTTTCACATAGTAGGCACTATTCTAGGCAGTGCAAATATGGCAATAGATAAGATAAACTGTGGCTTTGCTCTCCTAGGGCCACCATTCTAGTGCAAAAGATGGACATTAGGAAAGGTAGACACATCAATCTCAATAACTTATATTGTGATAAGTGATTGAGATATATGGATCTATATCTATATATGCATCTGAATATTATTGTCTATATCATTGTTGTGATAAAAAAGCAATGAGAAGGTCTACTGGGGACAATTTTTGAGTAAAATCTGAATGATAAGGAGACATAGGGCTGGAGATTTAGCTCAGTGGTTCCGGCGCCAAAAAGAAACCAGTAGGCAGAATCATGAAGCAACAAAAACCATTAGAAGCAGAATAGAAATAAGAACTACTGGAGAGAACAAGCAGAGACAGTTTCCAAACTAACAAGAAGTGCAAGTTGGCTCCAGAAACCACTGCTGAATTTCTGAATTCCAGCCCTTGTCTGCTAAGTGCATGCAAAAGTAGATGCATATGTTCAGTCTACCATCTTTATTTTGCTATAGAATCTATCAAATCTAAGCATTCTACTTATTGATCTTCCCATTTATCTAATCATTTCTATGTTGAGGGACAGATTGTTACCTATTTTTAGTTCTTACCAACAATTCTGCAGTGAACATTTCTGTACAAATTCTTTGTGTACCTGTGTGGAATTTTTTAATATACCTAATATTGAATTGCTAGGTGGTAAAGGAGGCCTATCATCAACTATCAACTGTCTTTACTATTCCAACATTTTTCCAAAGCTTCTTTTTTAAATTAAAAAGTGTACACTTGCATTTTTAAACTCCCCCCCCAGTGTGTCTCTCCTCGTTTTATTTTACCTTATGAGTTATGGAAATACATCTTAATAAGCTTTTGGGTTATGTTGGTAATTTACCCCCAGACTAGAAGGAATGCATAATCTAGTGTTTCTTGTGGCATGTGATTTTTTTTCTTGTGCTGAGTATTTATTGAAATCAGGGCCTCATCATATAGTATATGATTTTAAAAATATGCCTAAGCCTAGCAGGGCCTGGTAGTGCATGCCTGGAACTCTAGCTACTTAGGAGGCTGGAGCAGAATGACCACAAGCTTGAGGCCAGCACGCACAATTTAGTAAGTTATTTTCTCAAAATAACAGAAAAAGGGACTGAGGAGGTTGCTCAGTGGTAGAGCATTTGACTAGCATGTTTGAGGCCCTGGGTTTAGTCCCCAGCACCGAAATAAAAAAGGGGGCGGGGAAGCAAGTTTGAATCAGCTTCTTTGCGTTAAAGCTCGATTTCCTCTCTTTTTTTAGTTTAGCAATATTACTATTGTCCCTGACATCTTTGTTTTTTGATTTACAAAACCACGTTCACTCTTTCTGAACAATCAGAATATAAATTTGTGAGTCAGGTAATTAAAGATTTTGAGTGTCAACTGAGTTGTTAGATCTAATTTACTATAAAAAATGTATTCATCATGTGTTAGCGCTCCAGAGAAGACAGATTCTGAGATCAAATCTCACTCCATTTTCTTCCATCATAAAAGAAAATTAGGAAGTCCCAATAAATTACTCGTGGATTACCCAGTTTCCAGCATTCCTTTAGTGTTGGAAACAGCTGCTATTAGACATTGATACTAAAGGCTTAAGGGTAGAAGTTGTTAACTCCCAGGGTCTGCTCCGGGATACCCTGACACATTCATCCAGTCTCTAGCACTGTTTCGAAAAACTGCTTTTCTTTCCGTCCCTTTCCGTCTTCATCTCATCTTCTAGCCTGTTCTTCTGCGCTTCGAATAATTCTCAGTGTGGTCAATCACCTGACCTTAAAACTACTTCTTTAAGTGTTGAATTTGTCTTGCCCAAATATCTTTCCTAAATTCGTCTCAAATATATGATATCCTGTCTGTGGGAATTCAGTTGCTACCATAATTGAATTTTGTGGTCCTCAGTACACAGCAGTCCCGGGATCAAGATGTCCAAGCTCACTCAGCCTCCTCAGATTTATGCCAAATTCAGAGGTTGATCTTGAGGTGATTTCAGCCCCCCCCCCCAATAATCCTCAGCCCTAACTCAAGCTCAGAGCCCCAAGACTATCTTGATCTGGTGAGCTAAAGCTCCAGTGTTTTGCAGAGCGCGGGCTCATTCGGGAGCAGGAGCCCTGCGTCTTCCTAACTAGCGGCTCTGCGGATTGCACGCTGTTACCGCAGCCCACCTAGCCGGCGCGAAGAAGCTAGCCCTTTGTGCCCAGAGCTTAGAAACCCGGCCCGCTTGTGACGCAGCCGAGGCCCCGCCCCCGGCGTGACGCCAGCGTCAGGCCAGTCCCGGCATCCTCCGCGGCGGACCGCGGCGGAGCGCACAGAGGATTCTCTCCCGTGAGCGGCCGCGGTTCAGTTCCGCTGCTGTCCAGACCCGGCTCGGCCACGGTGCCGCCTCTAGCCGTCCTCCTACCGCTCGCCCGTCCACCCGAGCGCCCCCTGCCCTCCTGCGAGGGCGCCCCGGGACGGAAGGAACCACCAGCCTGTCGGCGCCCGCCGTTCTCGTGGTCGCCGTCGCCGTCGTCGTCGTGGTCGTCTCCGCCGTGGCCTGGGCCATGGCCAATTACATCCACGTCCCGTCCGGCTCGCCCGAGGTGCCCAAACTGAACGTCACGGTTCCGGATCAGGAGGAGCAGCGCTGCCGGGAGGGGGCCCTGAGCCTTCTGCGACACCTGCGGCCGCACTGGGACCCCCAGGAGGTGACCCTGCAGGTAACGCCCGCACTTCAGCCCAGGGTCCCCAACATCCCCAGGCGGCCATCGGGGCCTCCACACAGCCGCTGTCTGCCCAGTGACCGGCCAGGATCTCGGGAGCATCCGCCATCCCCCAGTCCTTTGGGAAACGACCCCATGTTTCCTCCATCACCCCGAGGAAGGTCACTCCCCCTTTTTCACAGCTGCTTATTAAGATCACCGCCGAGGGCGGATTTTCTCTTTCTAGAAGCGGTTACGTGAGTGACGCACCCACACCACTCCGGGAAGATTCCGGTGATGGTTGCCCCTCCTCCCACCCCTCCGTCCATTCTAACTGTAAAACGAATCTTTTCCACTCCCCTTGCACGGGGTCCTCGTCTGCTGCCCCAGTAATTTCCTCCTTCCATAAATATGCTCTAATTAATCCTATCTGATCTTTTCCTTTCCCTCCCTTACCCTGGCGATTTACTCTCTTTGACGCCTTAGCCTGCATTTTATCTTCCCAAATCCTCGGATTGGCGAGTACTCTATTCCAAAGTAATGATCGTGGCCATGCAGTCTAGATTTTTTTTTTTTAGGTAGCACTACATACACTTTTTTTCTTTTTTGGGTTAAATTGGTATTGTTCAATTTTTAAGTTGTAAAATTAGTATCATGTTTGAATGAGCAGTGACTGGGGAATATTTGCTTTTCTTGAATCACTGTATTTATAGGTAGACAAAAAGCTGGGAGAAAAAAATCTCTTTAAGAATCTAGAAATTTTCGAATAACTTGGAAGTTATGATTTCCTATATATAATGCTAATTTTGGATTTCTTTTTAGGTTTTGCAGTAGGTAGTTTTAGGAATTATATGGGTAAATGAACCTCCTTTTCTCTTTTATCCTTGCAAACAAAAAACCATCAATAATTTTAAAGGCTAGGATATTTAGGGGTTGTATTCTTATATTATTTGAATTAGTCAAATCATTTGCCTTATTTTTATTTTTATTTTTTGGTACCAGGGATCGAACTCTGGTCCTTGCGCTTGCGCAGCAGGCGGCGAAACCACTGAGCTAAATCCCTGGCCCTGCCTTATTTTTGATTATTTCATTCAGTTAATTGTCGAATTTATTCAGCAATTCTTTGCTGAAATCTTCACTAAAGTAGCTATCCACCTATACAAAGGTGAATAAAACATGAAAAATACCCAGGTCCCAGACCAGTCCCTGACATTTGGCTTTCTTGTGTTAGTTTCAGTTCTTATTTCCTAGAAGAATTTTGAGCAGATTAAAAGGAACCATATGTTTTAGGGGAAAAAATTGTTAGACAAAATTGTTCAAAATTTTAATAAAGTATTTGTTGGCCATATAGATGCAGTAATGAATCCAGTATTTTTTTTTGGTACCGGGGATTGAACTGGGGTCCTTGCGCTCGCGCAGCAGGTGGCGAAACCACTGAGCTAAATCCCTGGCCCAGAATCCAGTATTTTTATAATTAAAAAATATATTTCCTTTAAGAAAATGTCTTCCAAATTGAAACTTGTACTTGTTTATTCCTTATTGTGGTGCTGGGAATTGAACCCTGGTCCTTGCATGTGTTAGCAAGTGCATTACTATGAGCTACATCCCTAGTCCTCATACTTTCTTGTTATTTATTAACTTATTTTTATTTTTTGAGACAGGGTCTCCCTATGTAGTTCAAGCTGGCCTTGAACTCACTGTGTAGTCCAGGATGACCTTGGGTTTGAAGCAATCCTCCTGCCTCAGCCTCCCAAATGTTGGGATTACAGGCATATGCTACTACACCCAGCTTCCAGTTTATTTTCAAAGGTTTTAAAATTTATTAAAGTGATTTATTTTCTGACAGTCGATCATAAATAAAAAATATCTTTTATTACTTAAAGGCAGTGCCACTTCCTGGTAAACTCCAGTGCTAACAAATCTTGTTACTTTTTAAGCAATGAGTTTAAAGTTTGAAGCTTTGAAGACTGGACTTTCCTTTGCTATATCTGTTTATAGAACAGTCAGAATAACTACGGTGGGGCCCTATGTGCTAGACTAATCTGTATATATATTTTTGACATTTAATTGTCCGAACAACCATATTAGGTGGATACTACCTTTTTTGGAGGTGTAATTCTGTGAAATTAAGCTGGGTTATAGGCAAAAAGGACAAAAGATAGTAACAACAAGCTGGTTTTGATTGTTGGAAAGTAATGTGATTGATTATTGACTTCTGTGTGGTAGCTTTCCGCTTTCACCCTTGGGCTCATAATCTGAACTGCTAATTTGTAAGTGATGGTAAATGCCATCACTTATTTTTTCAAAAGATGGTGATTACTTAGAAATGTGTTTCTTCCATGTGCATACGAAGCTTTTGGCCCAGAAGCTAGACATCAATAAGTTGAAATGATGGTTCAACTCAACTGATCTGACTTCTCAACTCAGTGATCTGACTTCTCCCACACATTCTGGGTTATTACAAACTCCACACTTGATCTTAGCCAATAGACTGGGAAGTGATAGGTCATTATAAACTAATGATGCTTCAGGATTTCTTTAGTAAATCTCAACAGGAATGTTTTGAGACTTTTATTTTGGAACTACAGGGATAAAAATTATACCTCAAATTTTGCCAGGGAAAGCTTGTATCATATAGTAAACAGATTATAATGTAATTTTAGGACAGTTGGGTATCAGTAATATAGATTGTTTTGTTTTGAGACAGGGTCTTGATAGTATAGTTCAGGCAGGCTTTGAATTCACTATGTAGCCCAGGCTTTGAACCCACAGTAGTTCGTCTGCCCTGGCCTCCTGAGTTCTGAGATAGCTGTCCTGTTGTCCCGTCACCCCCGTCCCCCCCCCCCGCCCCCATCGAACTCAAGGACTTGAACATGCTAAGCATTTGCAGATCAACCGAGCTATGTGCTTGTCCTATCTTGTTTTTCCCCCCTCTCCCGAAATTTTCTTTAATTTCTGTGTGTTTAGATTATGCTTTCAATATACTTTAGTAGTACTACTTTCTGTAGTAATACTTACCTTATTTGGAAATTACTTTTGCAAAAATGTCAAAATTCAGAAGCGTGAAGAAAAGACTTCAATGCATTAAAACTGATAAAAGTCTTTGCTCAAAACTTAGGAGCACATGGAATGATATAGCTAATTTGAATAGATTTTCTGCCCTTACAGGGGGTTGTGAGGTTTTTGGAGTGCAGTGAGAATAGGCAAAGTAGATCTAATGCATAAGAGTAATACCAGCCACAGTGCTTTATATTTAATGCTACTTTACTGTTCATAAAGTACATTGACCTGTATTCTCGCGACTGTCCTGTGAGCTAGTTGTAGACAAGTACTGTTAATGTATATTTTATAGTTAATGAAACTGAACTTGTGGTTTGTAAATGGCTGATCTGGGATGAGAACCCATCTTGTAAATTACTACTCTTTGACTAAGAAGAGGTTATGTTCACATATTATGAAGGCAGGGAAGCCATGCCTTTATACAATTAATTAAAGAAACATTGGCTCTTTCTTTATTTTTAGTACCGGGGATCAAACTCGGGACCTTGCGCTTGTGAGGCAGGCGCCAGAACCACTGAGCTAAATCCCTGGCCCGAAGCTTTGGCTCCTAAAAAAGATTTTGCTTTAAGTTCTCTTGGACATAAATTTACATTCCTTTTTCCATGTGCCACTATTTTAGAAAAGGGATTACTTCAGCTTTCCTTTAAGATACTCTTTTTACATAGCAACTCTCCTTCACTTACTTGAATTTGGATTTTTGGTTTATCTGTATTTCTTTGGATGGTCATTGCATAAAGGAAGAATCAAGTCAGATCTCAGGCTCAACAGAATCAGTCTCCAGAGATTCTTAAAATTGTTTTTCCTTCAAAAAGTGCTGATGAATTATAGTGTTTTGAATATTCCATTATGTTGTCTTAGGGTCTTTCTGTCTGCAGTGTTGAACATTATTTTTCATTAACTTGTCATTATTTACACTGTTTTCGTAACTTGGAACCTGTATATAGCCCATAATGGCAAAGTCTTATAAGGATTGAACTCAGGGTTCCTTTTGAGCTACATCCCACGCTCTTTTTAAATCTTTCCAGACTGAGTCTCACTAAGTCACTAAGTTGTCTAGAGTGGGCTAAAACTTGCAATGCTCCCACCTCAGCCTCCCAGAGTTCTGGGCTTTATAGGTGTATGCCTCCATGCTAGGCTTTCGTTTAAGATTTTTTTTTTTACA